CCACAGACCCATGCTACTAACTCAAACGGTGGCGCTACCCATGGAGCCTCCCGGGGAGGTTTTCCCTGAGGACAACTTTGATGTGAACTTTGCAGCACGCCAGGGTACGGCAGCACGCCGGGCCTGTGGTAATTGTGGCTCATCATCGCACCAGAGTCGAGCTCCAAACTGCCCTGCCAAAGGACAGAGGTGTCAACGCTGTGGCAGACAGAACCATTTCGCACGGGTCTGTCGCTCTGTTCCTGCCGCAGCCTTACAGCTTTCGCGACGCATGTCGGAGTGTTTCGCTACACCCGCATGCCCTTCGGCCTCAGCTCGGCCCCCAGCTGTTTTCAAAAAATCATGACCACCATCTTCGCCGGCATCCCGGGCGTGGTCGTCTTCCTGGACAACATAGTGGTTCATGGTGCAACACCAGCCGTTCATTACGAACGCCTGGCGAGGGTGCTGGACGTCCTCGCCAGTCACAACCTCACACTCAATGGGGAAAAGTGCACCTTCGCCGTTCCAGCCATCGACTTCGTGGGGTTCCGCCTGACCGCCGACGGCCTCAGCCCGCTACACTCCAACGTAGAGGCGGTGCTGCGCCTGCCTGAGCCGTCCTGTCCAGCTCAGATCTCTTCGTTTCTGGGGATGACGGCCTACTACCTGCGCTTCCTTCCTCAGTACTCCTCGACCACCTCCCCACTACGCGAACTGCTGAAACAGGATGCGGTCTGGGAGTGGACCCCGGCCTGCTCTGCCGCTGTTCGCCAGCTCAAGACGCAGCTTACCTCAACGCCGGTGCTCGCATTCTTTGACCTGGCGAGCCCCACGTTTGTGACCTGTGACGCGTCCAATACAGCAATAGGGGCGGTGCTGTCCCAGATCCAGGGGGGCACAGAACGCCCAGTGGCGTTCGCCTCTCGGTCCCTCAACTCGGCCGAACAGAAATACTCGGTGGGGGAGCGGGAGGCGCTGGCCTGCGTCTGGGCGTGCGAGCGGTGGCATATGTACGTGTATGGGCGACATTTTACGTTGTGTACTGACCACCAGGCTCTTACAGCCCTGCTTGCTACATCGGGGTCAGGGCACAAACCGCTGAGGATCTACCGCTGGTCAGAGAGGCTCCTGCCGTATGACTTCACCACAGTGTTTACTCCCGGCAGGGAGAATGTGGTGGCTGACCTGCTCTCCCACGCCACCCCCGCCCCAGCGCCCGGCGCGGGCCCTGACGCAACAGAGTCAGAGCTCATACTCATGCTCCACGCCCCGCTTCAGGCCGCGGTTTCCCTGGAGGACCTTCGGCTCGCGTCGGAGGAGGACCCCACGCTCTCCCGGCTCCGCACTTACATCCGGGAGGGATGGCCTGCGAAGTTCCCGGAGGAGCTGGCGTCTTTTCATCGGGTCAAGGACGAGACCTGCTGGAACGGTGTCTGGGTGGCCCGGGGCCTCCGCACGTTCGTCCCCATCAACGTCAGGGCACGCGTATTGGCAATGGCGCACGAGGGCCATCTGGGTATCGTGAAGGTGAAACAGCGCTACAGGGATTTGGTGTGGTGGCCGGGCATAGATCGAGATATAGAGACAATGGTGAAGGAGTGCACGGCCTGCCTGGTCAGTGGCAAAACTGGCCCGCCACCCCCACCGCCCCTGCAGCCCTTGCAGTGGCCGCGCGCGCCTTGGGAGCACATGCAGCTGGACATCTGTGGGGAGCTCCATGGCGTCCCGCACCACCAACGCTTCCTCCTGGTGGCCTACGACCTCCATTCGAAATGGCCAGAGGTGGTCGCCACAGGGTCCGTAACGGCTCGGGTAGTCACAGACTTCCTTTCCTCTCTGTTTGCTCGGTGGGGCAGTCCTAACGCCATCACTACAGATAACGGCCCACAGTTTGTCTCAGCTGAGTTCGCCACCTTTGTGGAAGAGAGGGGGATTAAACACATCCGTACAGCTTTCTACCACCCGCAAGCAAATGGGGGGGTGGAAAGGTTCTACCAAACCCTAAAGAACGGGATCAGAGCACACCTGGCAGATGGTCTTCCGTTCTCAGCCGCGCTGCTCCGCACCCTGCTTCACTACCGGGCGACGCCGCATTCAACTACCGGCAGCTCCCCAGCCCTCTTGATGATGGGCCGTGAGCTCCAGCTCCCTTTGGATCGGTTACGGGCCCCGGCGGCCGTCACGCCAACAGCCGCACCCTGCCAGAGCGCCAGGGTCGCAGAGGCTCAGCGCCGCATGAAGCAGCGATTCGACAAGAGACGGAGGGTGAGAGCGCCTCCCTTCACAGTGGGGGATTGGGTCAGGATTCACCGTCCTAACCGGGACCACAAGCTGCTATCCTTCTGGACGGCGCCGATGAAGGTCACCGCTCAACTGGGGTCAGCCACCTTTCGTCTGGCCGACGGATCACGGTGGCATGCAAGCCGGCTTCGGAAGGTGGCACCGCCCCCCATCGTGGACCCAGGGCCCAGGGAGGACGGGGACTTTGCTTTTCCTGATGAGCTGTTGCAGGGTCCAGCCGGGTTCCCACCTGAGCCAGTTGAGCCAGTGGTTCGTCCTGAATAGGGATGGGTACCGAGCCCCGGTATTAAACGGGCCCCGGGGCTGAATTATTAAAGACCGTGGTACCATTAAGCTCCGACGTTATCGGTCTTTTTATCGGTACTGGAGACATCTAAAAAAGATGTCATGTGTATTATTGCTACACAAACATTATATTGCAGTTTTAGTGTCGCCAACTCCGTTTCTAATACGCAAAAAGACTGCAAAATGCGTCATTTTTTGTATTTTCGATCTCTCCAAACGAGAGATCCAAACGAGAGATCTCTCTCCCCCGTCTGTGTGCGAGGGGGCGGGGCAGTTTACACACACGCAGCTGCTACATGCAACAACACACACACACGGAGGAGATGGCGGAGAGAACGCGCTCCGAGGTGTGGTTAAACTTTACCCATCTCGCTCGTTGCCTAAAGTGCAATAAGAGTTTAGCATGTCAGGGCGGTAACACGAGCAATTTGTCTAAACATCTTGCAAAAGTGCACCACGTTCAGACGGAGAAATGCACCGGGTTCGACGGTCTCTCTAGTAGCTCTGTAGCCCCATCCACGAGTAACGTTTCCACGTCAGCAGTGGCGACTGGTCATTAGGGGCAGGTGGGGCACAGCCCCACCTAGTGTCAGCAGAAAGTATTACAAATAATGATTACAAAAATGCAAAAAAAATAAATAAAAAAATATATAAAATATATTTTAAGATCATGTTTAATCATCTGATTCGTCTGTACATTGCTGTTTTAGTCTGTGTTCTTCTAATTAGTGTGTCTACAGTCACAGTGTGTGCCTATTGAGCTGTTTAGAGCCATGTGGGACAAAACCTGATTATGCCCCTTCCTCTCGCTGTGAAGTCAACGGTGACTGTAAAAACTTCACTGCGCATGCTCAGAGTATTTTGTAATGAAATGTGTGTGGCAAAAAAATAATGACCAGAGGGGCATGGAGCTACCATCCCCGCCATACGTCATCTCAAATCATTCAGAGCTGATTGGCTGTAAGTACGTGTGCCGCGAAAAGTGTGCTGTGTGAAGAGGAGACGAGAGAGCTGCAGGGGCGCGTCCTAAAACCAGGAAGTAAGCACAAAAAAGCAATGAGATTTCTCCAGAGGATTTTAGAAAATAGCTCGAAATAAGATCTGTGGGAAACGTACCTGTTAGATAAATGCACGTTTTGATTAGCCGGATAACATCCACATGTCTACCCTACTTATATAATTTTTTTATCATAAATCTATGGATTAGATTTATGATAGACTTTTGAAACTACAAGAACATAAGGAGGACTTTTACAAAAAAGTAATAGAAATGTTTGTCCAGAAGGATAGGCAAATGGACTTCATCTTCAAGTCAAGGTAATACCGCCATTTTATTGAAAATGGGATCTTACTAAGAGAGAACAATTCAATATTTAAATGATAAAATGACATTTTTTGGGTATCCTTTTGTTGAACTGTCTGTTTAAAATTAATCGAAGCATCAGACAAAAAAAGCTTTTGAAAATAATATTATATTTTGGTTTAGGTCAAAATATAATATTTGTAAACCTGAAGAGTCAGTGCCAGTGCCTCACCAGCCATGAACCTCACTGCACGTCACTGCAGAAGCTTATATATAGACATCTAAGTTTTTTGTGCCCCACCACTTTTGTACATATAAAAACGCCACTGCACGTCAGGTATATTATGTATGCTAGCAGCAACACACGGAGCTAACTCAATGATTCAAACATGGGTTAATGATTAGAGGGAACTGAGTTATTTAGTTTGTTAAAGTTTCAGCCATTCTGTTCACAGTTCTGTCATCAGATTATTTAATATGATTTGTTAAAACGTTGTTGTTTCTGTTGATGTGAAATATTATGTATTTCATTTAAATAAAAAGCAATGTTAGTTTTGTTCACAATTTGTTAATTTTCATTTAATTGTTTATTTGAATAGGGACAATGCACATTAATGAACACTTTAGACAAATAATGCTTCAAGTGTAAATATGCCGGATGTTAGCTTTGAGCTCATTTCCATCCGTAGTCCCTGACATACAACATATAGTTAGTTTACCTCATTTTTCTCTCCAAAAGAAGCGATAAGAGTACCGTTAAAAGACCGGACCGATAAGCGGTATCGATAAAAGTAGTAGTACCGTTAAAACCTTAACGATACCCATCCCTAGTCCTGAAGCTCATCCGGCCCGTGTCCGGGTCAGACCAAGATACTTGGAGGACTATATTGTGAGCTTGTGATTCTCAGGGGTAATGTTCAGAGCATAGTCTGTTGCGTGGCAGAATAATCCACATGGCTATGCTGGTGACTGGCAGTCTACCCAGTTCATCTAGAGTAGATAGCTCAAAGTTAATTGGGTTCCTTGTGGGGGGGGGGGTAAATGTTATGTATGTGTCACATCAGGTGTGACTGTGCCTTTAAGATGGCACCGGGAGTTTGGGGATGTGTGAACCGGATACAGTTGGTTGTTGTTGTGTTGTCATGGCAGCGTGTGCAATAACGTGTTGAATAAACTGTCAACCTAAATGTCATAGTCCATAGTCTAAATATATACAACAACTCGCTCTGCGGTTAAAACAGACGGTGCATGAATGCCGTTTTGCGGTAAGTGAAATTTGAGTACTTTATTTATGTGTTTATGATTTCAATCAGCTACGTAATGAATGTTAAGGCTTGGGTTAGCGTGTAAGCGAGTGGTAGCTACATCGGTGCTAACGATGCTAATCTTAGCCTCCAAGTTAACTTAAAACCATAGACTGTATATATAAAGGTTAAAACGAAATAGACAAGTGTTAAGCGTTAAGTGGGATAATACTGTAGAACAAAAGGCTTCTGTTTGAGGTTGATAAAATAAGGTCATCCTTGTAACTTAGAGAGATATTTTATTATGTAGGTAGGAACTGTATGCATCGCTAAGGTTAATTTAAATTGGCTATGCTCAAGTATGTAGACAAGCTAACGTCGAAGTAGTGTATGTGAAATCAACCTCACAATAAGATGTGTGTATATTACAATTATTAATGTCATATTTCAAGATGATTACTTAGATATTACAATATGGTTGGTTGAGCTGGAGTTCATTATTGAGCTTACACGTTAACGTCACAGTCATCTGAAGAACGAACCCAAACCTTGTTGTTTTTATTAATTGCATTACCAAATTGGTATCAAATAAACAGTAAGCATTGGTAACACAACTTCCAAAGTTACAGTAAAATAAAAAGGACCCTGACTCGGACAATACACAATCCAACATGTTCAACAGAAGAGAATAAGTTATATTGTTTGTACACATGGTACTTTACATATATATCTGTTTGTTTAAAGTGTCCAGGTGATGCAGACAGGCTGGACCAGAGAGTGAGAGACAGAACTGGACTCCTCACAGCAGTGAACTTCAGCACAGGTACAAATACTCTTTTTTCATACTGTACAAAGAATCAAGAAAGATATTGGTTTAAATAAATGAAGTATTGTGACGACCCCTGCCTTGTTGTCTCCTGTGGTGTGCATGGCCCTTTAATGTTTCTCCTCTGCTTGAGACGCCCTGATTGGGGACACCTGACGCCCTGATTGAGGACACCTGAGGGCTGGCGGAGGATTAAGAGGCCTGGGCCAGAGTCTTGATCTCTCTCTCCCCGCAGAGGACCGGACCTCGGAGAGCAGCCACGTCGCCTATGTTTTTTTGCTTTGCCTTTTTGTTTGTCTTCGGACACATTAAGTTTTGCTAAATAAATACCTTTTTTACATATTCTTGTCCTTCCCACGCTTTTTGTTATGGCTAAGAGCCAGGCCATGACAGATGGGGGCTCGTCCACTTCTTTTTATCTGTGATGCAGCAACGGATAGGTAAGATTTGTGTTGGGAGTTGATGCGCGTGTATAACATTTGTTGGGAGCGCGTTTGCAGTGCGGCCGGTTTCTTTGTTTCGGCTCGTTGTGGGAAGGACATTAGATTTCAGATCGTTGTTTGGGGACTGATTTGAGTACTTTGTGAAACTTTGATTTGTTTGGTATTATATTTCGGGAGAGTGGTTGCTAGTTGTTCTTAGCCGTGGTCAGCTGTTTGTTTTGTTTTTCTCCTTTTTCTCTCGTGGGGGTTTGTTGGTGCGGAGCGGTGCGGAGTTTTCCCTGGCAGGTTAAGCGGCGGTTCCCTTGGGATTGTTGAGCGGGGTGTGTAGTGTTGCGGAGAAAGTGGTTGAAGCTTCGGCTTGGGAGCATGGCCGTGGTCACAGTAGTGTTGCTAGCTTGCTAGTCGCTTTGCTGGGCCAGCGGTCTCCGGTGCATAAATACCCACCACAAGTAACTGCATGAAGACTAGGGAGGAGATTAGTCAGTGGGATGGTGAGTTAGTGGGGAAACTCCAATCAGAACATTAGTGTTGTTCCACTTTGGACGCATCACGCATAATAAGCGTTGTGCTATCTGTCCGGTTTGTTTTTGTGTTTTTTTTCTTTTTCTCATCTCTCGGTTTAAAGGTCCGGTGTTGTGTTGTGTTGTGAGGGGTCGTTGGAAGTTAATATGGCTGACGTAGAGGCATTTGTTGAAGCTCCGTCTCAGGAGTTGCTTAGCACTTTTTCAAAAGAGCAGCTGCTCTTAATTGCTGAGCATTTCTCTGTGTCTATTGTCGGGGATAGAAGGGTGAAAGATAACATAAAAGACTCTATAGTGTCGACATTAAGGGAGACGGGAGTTTTTGCTGCAAAGGAAGAGGGGGTTTTGTTAAAACCTCGTTTTCAGGCAAGTGCACTTTCTTTTGAGCAGCAGAGGGAAATGTTGTTGTTGCAGCAGGAACACGAAAAAATAAAGTGGGAACATGACCGGGAACATGACAAAAGGAAGTATGTGTTGGGAATTGAAAAGGAAATCACAGTGGAGCGGATGCGACAAGAATCTGAGAAAGCCAAGATAGAGTTGGAGGGACGTCGTCTGGCTATTCTCAGAGATGGCGCGTTGTCCGGTGAGGGGCAGGGTGAACAGGTGCCCAGGTCTCCTCATCACTTTGATGTTAATAACCTGCGCTTGCTGCCTCACTTTAATGAAGGTGATCCCGACACGTTTTTTGTTGTTGTTTGAACGTGTAGCTAGGGCTAGAGATTGGCCTGATGCAGACTGCGCTCTGATGCTTCAGTGTGTTCTCACAGGAAGAGCACAGTCTGCATATTCCTCTTTATGTCTGGAAGATAGCTCTAGCTATAGTAAAATAAAATCAGCGGTGCTTAGAGCATATGAACTGGTGCCAGAGGCCTATCGACAGCGTTTTAGGTCCTTTGAGCAAAAACAAGATCAAACATATGTGGAGATGGCGAGGGATTTGTCTGTTCATTTTAAGCGTTGGTTAACTGCTCTTGACGTCACTACTTTTGACGATTTGTGTGAGCTCATGACTTTGGAACAGTTCAAAAATATTCTTCCTGACAAGATTGCTACTTACATAACAGAACACAGGGTCACTTCTGCGGCTGAAGCTGCTGTGGCAGCTGATGAGTTTGTGTTGCAGGTTCGGAGGGCGCTCTGGGGCCCTAGCTGTTTTTGAAGGAAGTAGAAAGGCTGTTGATGTTGGTTCATTTGGGATGGAGCCAAGGAAATTTGGGTTTGGTCAAATCTGAGGTGGATAATGATATGTGCCACTACTGTCGTGAAAAAGGCCATTGGAAGGCAGAATGTCCTGCGCTTAGAGCAAAATCTGAGGGAGGAAGATATTTTGTTGGGCCTGTTGCGTTAGCTGCTCCTGTGAAAAGCTGCTGTGTTGCCGATGTGCTTACATCCCACTTATGTGGATCTGAGGTTTTGGCATCTTATGCTCCATTTATACGAGACGGCTTGGTGTCATTGGTAGGTAGTAATGTCAGAGTTCCAATCAAAATCTTGCGAGACACAGGGGCTTTTGATTCCTATATTGTTGACTCTGTTTTGCCTTTGTCTTATGAAAGTGACACTGGTGACACTGTTCTGAGTTGGGGAATGGGATTAAAAGTTCTTCCTATTCCTGTTCATAGGATGTATATTGACTGTGACCTTGTTAAAGGTGAAGTAGCTGTTGGTGTACGTCCAGCTTTGCCAATCGAGGGGATACACTTCATCCTGGGCAACGGTTTGGCAGGTAGCAGAGTCTGGACTGATGTTCCCCCTGCGTTTTTAGTCACTGGCGGCCCGATTGAGTCAGGGTCTGAGGAGAGCTCTACAGTGTTGGCAGACGTCACGTCCTCTTGTGTGACCACTCGTGCTATGGACAAAAATATGTTTGGAAACCAGAAGATCAAGCATTGTCCCACTAGTCAAAGTGGTCGTGGCGGCGGTGGCGTTGATGGTGGTCGTGGTGGCGGCAGCGTTTATGGTGGTCGTGGCGGCGGCAGCAGGGGTCGAGGAAGAGGCAAGGAAATGTCCTGCTATCGGTGTGGAGACCAAGGACACATGGCTCGTGACTGTGGGTATGCCAACGACCGGAAGTGCTATTCCTGCGGTGGGCTTGGTCACATCCAGAGACGGTGCAGTAGGGTGAAATGTTACAGGTGTGGCGACATTGGCCACGTTGCGGTGCAGTGCAGTAAACCCAGTGAAACTAACTGCTACAACTGAGGAAACATGGGCCGTGACGGTAATGTATTGTCTGTCATACTGTTCGATAAATCGTTCTCGCTCTGCCCATCCTTTTAAAGTGTGCTTCTCAGGTAGCTTACCTGAGTTGCTAAAGATGTGGCTGGGTGTTGGAGGAGCGTTTGGCAGTGTGAGGGTTGTATGTTGCAATTGGTGGTTTTGTTGGAGGTGGGGTGCATTATGTCTTGTGTTTTTTTTGTTCATTACTGGTGTTTTTTGTTTTGTCAGGGTTGAGATTGGTGTGCCGGTGGTCCTGGGGACACCGACTTTAAGGGGGGGGGTGTGACGACCCCTGCCTTGTTGTCTCCTGTGGTGTGCATGGCCCTTTAATGTTTCTCCTCTGCTTGAGACGCCCTGATTGGGGACACCTGACGCCCTGATTGAGGACACCTGAGGGCTGGCGGAGGATTAAGAGGCCTGGGCCAGAGTCTTGATCTCTCTCTCCCCGCAGAGAACCGGACCTTGGAGAGCAGCCACGTCGCCTATGTTTTTTTGCTTTGCCTTTTTGTTTGTCTTCGGACACATTAAGTTTTGCTAAATAAATACCTTTTTTACATATTCTTGTCCTTCCTACGCTTTTTGTTATGGCTAAGAGCCAGGCCATGACAGTATTGACTTTAATACACTGCTATACATTCCATTAAACAATACTAAATACTAGATCACCTACACATCAGTGAAGTTGAGGGTTTTTTCCATGCAAAGGGTTACATTTAGATGTTAACAAGCAATATGACTGTCAGCTTTCTAATTTAATGTATTGAAGGCAAAGATATTTAACGCATAGTGACAACTGCTATTTATCTCTCAATATTGTCTGTAAAAACATGGTAAAACTTATTCTTTCAGTGAGACAACAGAGCAAGCTTGTTTTAATAACAGTTAAATATTATTTTGATAATAAAATACATTTCAATGTTGATGAATTTCATACTGTTCATTCATAATCTGATTGTCTTTGTAGCTCACTGTTGAAATAAAAAAAAAACATTACAATTACAAAATAATTATATCTCCAGCCCCTAAACACAAGCACACCTCTTTCATAAATAACACACTTGTTCTGCAATAATATGTTTTATGTTTCCTGTCATTTTTGTTAGGAAAGGACATGCCTGAAAGACACGACTCAGCATCTCCTCTTTCTCCGAGGGTCAAGAAAAACATCCAATAGGAAAATGAAAAGCTGATGTTATGAGATGTTAAGACCAGTACAGGACATTCACTAAGAAACTACTTTTATTGTGAAAACAGTGTCAGCTGATCGAATGCACCTATTTCCACATCTACACTCCATCAGCTGATTATTTCTATTTGCCTCACTTCATGAGCTTCACAACATGTACCTTGTACCGCAGAGTTTGCAACGCAAATAAATGGGGCCAATCTTCAGTCGGATGTGAATGTGTAATCTAACATTTTCAGTAAGAATAATGGACAAAAGGAGTGCAAATACAAATACAATTTATTGAAGTGTGAACCAAAAGTTAATCAAACATGTTTTAAATAAAAAGCACATATGGACAGAAGGTGTAAACCTATTAAATGTACAAGTAAACACATTTAGTCAAATAAAGTGACAGACTAGGCCTGATCAGGTGGTATCAGCTATGCATGGGCTCCTCCATCAGGTCTGGTTCTCCTCGCTGAGGAAAGACCCTCAGTCCTCTCCGGCCAAACCAACAGACAGGACGTCCATCACACGGAGGTTTCTCCCTGAAGTCTCTGCAGCTCTCTGGACACCACGCTGTCTCAATCCATCCACACTGAATATGAGAGGGGAAAAATGAAAATAATAAATGCTTTAGACAATAAGAAATATAAAGTTGACTGTTGAGTTGCTCAGTTTTTTTAGATTGTCAATACTATTACTGTATAACTAATATCTCAGGTTAAGAGGCACCTTCAAATAAAGATTGGTCTTTAAATACATTTTGTCTTTTGAATTGTTTGTCTAAAGTCAAGGATCTAGAACTGGTACTTGTAGCTTTAAGGATACATTCTGGTTATAATGCTGTTTGGAGGAGGCCTCACAGGTAAGAGCACTAACTAGCTATCATCACATGTACCTTAGCTTAACTTAAATGTATTAAACGTATAATTAAGTGATGGCAAAATATAAATAACTAATGTCATGCAAACATATTAATATTTGCTTGATTCCAGTGTTTAATTTAGCACAATTGCATACAAACGTTAAGGGATTTTAAGATTCTGAAGTATTATGCTAAAAACTCAATTTAGATTATTTATAGTTTTGCTGAATAGTCTCATGTCCGCTTACCTTAGAAACGTAAAATGCGACGGCAGTGTGCAGATGGGGAGCATGTTAGCTCAGCTTGGTAGCTTCAGCTAGCTCTGGAACTTCCAGCCCGGTGGCAGCAGGTCCCGCCTCGGCTCCGCCTCTTTGCCCTTATTTGGAGCAGGCGGGAGTGGAACTCTGTCGCCACTGTCGAGCCGTTAGTGGCCGACTCCGCCTACTAAGGGCTTCTCGGCAACTCTGCAGAATCCTATGGGTGACGTCACGGACCCTACGTCCATTTATATATACAGTCTATGGGTATAACCGGCAAGAGAGAAAGCCTTTGAGCTCCATACTGTTTCAGAAATAATCCTTGATAATCCATGATATGTAGTGATGGGAATTATGGCTCTTTGAAGGGAGCCGGATCTTATGGCTCCGTTCCTTTCAAAGAGCCGTTCAAAAGAGCCGTTTTTTAAAAGGGGGCGGGGTTACTAGGTTTATCTGCGAAATAATCACCAGGATAATGATTGACTGTATTGTCAGACCTAATGTCAATAATCGGCATTGTAAACATGACACAAGGTGGCGCCATATCCATGTCATCATGTCAGTGAATGTACTTTGAATTTACCCTCTGCATGTGTTAAGTAAATAAAGTTGCCTTGCCTTGAATGAAATTCATGCAACTCTTAATATTAGATAGTGTGTTTTTAAGTGGCGATGGAGATTATTTGTTGACCCTGCTTTAAAGGATATTTTGCCTTTACAAATGGTACGCTTTATCACTGCCTGGGTTTTGGTTGAAGTGCATCCAAATGCTGCTGCGTTTTCGCGTTTGGCTCATTTTCCATCCGAAAAACACATCATCTACCTGTCCTGTACCACTTGTTATGACTTCTCTCTCTCGCGTATTCCGTTAAAATCAACCCCACCTAACTCCTCGTGCTGAAACCTACCAATCAGAGTAGGGGCGGGTCTTCACAGAATACGTTTGGGGAACAAAATCAAGCTTTTTAAAAGGTGAGTGGATTTTGGCAGGCAGTGAGTGCGGACCAACGATTGAACGATAACAAGAACGGCTCTCACCAAGGAGGACTCGGTTCCCCTCGTTCGTACCAAAGAGCCGTTCAAAAGAATCGGCTCGTTCGCGACCGACACATCACTAATGATATGGCGTTTCATCACCGCAGAATCTGCCGGTAGAATCTCCCGCATGAGCTCAGCCCCCTCCTTTTTTTAAAGCTTTATACCCCAAATCAGCACTTTTGAAACAGGAAGTGAAATAGAGGGATATGAGGCATGGCTAGAATGGGTGATCTGTTTGGTATTTTGAGCAAAACACTTCACATATATATTTTTATATATCTGAGACCTACAGTATGCTATTGCCTAAAAATAGCATGATAGGTCTACTTTAAGACAATAAACATTCACTATGTAACTTTCATACAAGAAATGTCGCTCCAGGAACTTTACATTAAAAAAAAAAACCCGTAAACATTAAAATTTAAATTAATCCTGAGAGGAAAGTGTGTATAATGTGGAGTTTTTATATTATGTTATATATATTACAAATATATTTTAAATATGTATGATAGCTAATTGCATATTGTCAACACAAATAGGCAAACGAAAAACTAACTTTAATTTCTTAGTGACTTCAAAAACAGGTTGCTGCAAGTTATACAAAAAACAAAAAAAGCTACATATATACAGTAAACTGTTATTTGGTAGTATTCAGCTTGCTGATTTTTTTAAATATCAGAAAATAGCTGGTTACAAATATCAATTGAACACGAAATTGCAATATAAAACTGGTATTGTGTGTTTTTTCACCTTATCACACAATAATGCCCTCAACTTTGACATAGTGTGCAGGAATACAGTCCATTATAACAATATCAGGCTTCTTATGTAGAAAGGAACGTAAAACAAATCTAGCTTTTTGGAGAAGTAAATCAATTCAGATTAAATAAAACAAGATAATGTTATAAAAAACAAAAAAAGGTAATAATAATAATATATCTAGTTTGGTGGCACCTTTTAGGTTACACAAGGAGACTTTATAGTGCAAATACAAATATATCACTTTTAACACATGCAGGATGCAGATTTTGAAGAGCGTGTCATGTTTTTACAGGAACCTGCCGGAGGTGTTTGCTGTCGAGTCTGAAGCGGAAACAGAGCCTCTCAGTGTTTCTGCTGTAATGTGTGTGTCCTATCAGCAGGCAGCCTCTGGTAAGTGTACCATCTGTGACCGGGTCCGCATGCCATCATCCTCTGAACCTCTGCCACTGAGGGTGAGCCGCAGCGGGTCACATGACTCCTGCCTCTCTGCCAACCGCTGTGGAGAGCAGCCAACAGGAAGCACGCTCTGCTCGTCTTCATCACGTAGGTCCGGAAATCATCATCAGCTAAGGAACGTTTATTTAAAAAAGCATGTTGCCATAATAAGGCAATTCAAAGTGCTTCACCGAAATCATTCAAAGCATTAAAGTGCACTTATCATGCTATTTTAAGGCATATATTATGGGTCTCAGATGTCTATTATGTGTTTTGCTCAAAATACAAACAGATCATGCATTTTAAACATCCCTCATATCCAGTGTTAATTTTGGCAGCTGTTTTTGATTTAGTCTTAGTCTTAGTCTTTAGACGAAAATGGTTATTAGTTTTAGTCACATTTTAGTCATTTCTATCCTTCATAGTTTTAGTCTAGTTTTAGTCGACGAAAACTCAAAACGTTTTAGTCTAGTTTTAGTCGACGAAAACTCAAAACGTTTTAGTCTACTTTTAGTCGATGAAAAATTACATTTTAGTCAACTTTTAGTCAAAATGTTTTCTCTCTTTAAACCAATTCAGTTAGGCAAATACAGGTATCTGACATTGTAATCAAGGTGGCAGCATCAAGTGTTGAAATTCGTAAAGCAACATTTCACTCTCTTAACACTTTACTTGTGTAATATATAGGGATGGGTATCGCTAAGGTTTTCTACGGTACTACTAGTCTTATCAATACTGCTTATCGATCCGGTACTTTAACGGTATTCTTGTAGGTACTTTTTGTTATTTTTTAAAGGAAAAAACGAACAAATTGTTAACCGAATTAATTGCTTTATTTACATGTGAAATAAATGAAATATATATAATTATGTTAAAATATTGTACTGTACTTGAGTAAAATGTTGAGGTACTTGTACTTTACTGGAGTATTTAAATGTTTTGCTACTGTGTACTCCTCTACAGTTCATAGTTAAATGGTGTACTTCTACTCCACTACATGTATTTAATACCTTTAGTTACTTTACAGATGTGGATGAATGATGTGAAATATAATCAAGTGTTAACTCAGACTTTAGTAAATCCACAAGCTACCCTGCAGTATACAAAGTCCTTCAAACTAGCTGCACCTTTACCAGCTTTGAGAACACTTTAATGATCAATCATTATAAAACATATCATGTATATTATTCTGAAATGGACCAATCTGCACAATGACTACTTTTACTGTCGCTACTTTAAATATATTTTGATGATCATACTTTGACTTGAGGAACTCTTCCTACACTATGGTATTTTTTTACTTAGCTACAAGATCTGAGTACTTCTCTCACCTCTGCGCACCTGATGTGATAACGTTACTCGTAATTGGGGCAACAGAGCTACGAGTTAAGGAAGTCGAAAATTGTGCATTTCTCCGACTGAATATGACGCCTTTTGGCCGGCTGTTTGGACAGACTACTCTACTCGTGTCAACGCGCTAACGCGAACACATGGCAAACGAGCTTTGTCCACATCGAGTCTTGTAAAGTGTCTCTATACTCTCTGAACGCTCCGTCCCCGGCAGATCTCTGCCGCTGCAGCGTGTCTGTTAGGCCCCGCCCCCGCACACAGAGAGAGAGGGAGATCGCTCTTCTGGAGTGAAGAGAGCGGAAATAATGATATTGCAAGTTAGAAATGTAAGATGCATTTTGACAGACAAGACGGACACTTGGGGGGAAATACCCTGCATTTTGAATGTCCGATAGTCCACCATTAACACCTAGTCCCGTCTCGTCTCGTCAACGAAAACTAAATATACATTTCGTCAAATTTTCGTTATCAAGAATCTATTTTTAGCTCGTCATCGTCTTGTCTTAGTCATGTAAAAAAGGTCGTTGACGAACATTTTTCGTCATAGTTTTCGTTGACGAAATTAACACTGCTCATATCCCTCTATTCCAGCCCTGTTAGAGAAACGCGGATTCTGGGTCCTTAGCTTGAAAAAAAAAAAAAAAGGAGGCGGAGCTAATGCCTGATCAGAATTCTACCAGAGATAAAGTTAAATTCTGCTGTGATAAAATGCCATCCTGTTCTAAACCACATCAAGGATTATTTCTGAAACAGCATGGAACTCAAATGCTTTTTCTCTTGCGGGTTTATCACAAGGTGAGTTCCTTTCTTTATTTCCTGCTTTTTAAACACATGTGCTCTCCAGTACAGGTTAGCTCTGAGTGTTTGCGAGGCTTGCTAATGTAAAAAAAGTAGGACTGTCAAGTTAACGCGTTAATAACGCGTTAACGCAAAAAAAAATTAACGCCACTAATTATTTTAACGCGATTAACGCATGTGTATTTTTTGTCCTCGGCCGCCGTAGTTTCAGAGCGCATCGAGTGTAAAATACCATCTACAAGCTGATGCTGACAGCCCCGCTCCTGCCGCCCGCTTGTGGCAGACTACACTTCCACGCTCACTGGCAGGCCCGGACTGGCCATCGGGAGGACCGGGAGGGAGTGTGTATGTGTGGCGCGACTCGCGCGAGCGAGGCACACCTTACGTGTTGATGTTGTTGTTAGCATCTGGTGCTAGCTAGCTGCGCTAACGGATATAAGGAGCTGTTTCAATGACATTTCGCCGACAACTGCGCCGAGCACTTGACTTTATGCAGGTAGCCAGACAGTGGGACATTGTACGAAAAGTCAGCACACTCAGCACGGATAGTATGCGCAACATGATTGCAGCGTCCAGGCAGCTCCCATTCGAGCATATATGCCTTGAGCTGCACATAGCTCCAACAATCCATCACAGTGTCTCCACATTCTCACACACACACACACACACACACACACACACACACACACACACACACACACACACACACACACACACACACACACTGTATTATTGTATGAGAGAGCTTCCAGGTTGAATTGAGGCGAATATTTGTAATGTTCAGAGGTTGTTGTGTTTAATATTCATGAGAATATTTGTCATTGTTCAAATGATAATAAACAAACATATAAAGCATATTTGTCCACTCATATGTTGATAAGAGTATTAAAAACTTGAAAGATATCCCTCTAAGGTACATTTAGAACAGATAAAAAATGTGCGATTAATTTGCGATTAATCGCGATTAACTATGGACTATCATGCGATTAATCGCGATTAAATATTTTAATCGATTGACAGCCCTAAAAAAAAGACGAGATTACGTCCAAAACACGTCAGGCATTGGCCGTGTCTCAATTCAGGGGCTGCACCCTTTGGAGGCTGCATTTGTAGACCGCATACGTCACTTCCGCCGAAAGAAGGCTGTCCCAATTTTTTTAAAAGACGAGACTCCTCCGAATGCGGCCCACGAATGCAGCCTTCTTTTCCCGGATTTGAAGGATACATCTGATGTATCCTTCGCGGTCTACCATATCCCAGGGTGCAATGCGCGCAGGCAAAAGTGAGTTTTTTCAAATGAAATGGCTGTCCGGCAATAGTATGAAGCTGCAGCGTCGGAGGCTGCACTCTCAGGACCGCACTCTCAGGACCGCACTCCGAGGACCCTAGTTGTTTTGCAACATCGCCACCTAGCGGATTGGATGACCGCAGAAGTACAACCAGCGAGTATTGAGTCTCATACACAGCGAGTCTCTTTAGACATTGTAATGCTTGTTATTAACCATCTAAAAATGCATGAAAATATGTTTTTCTTACTGAAATTAAATTATTATTATTAACAACAAGTTGTTGTTAATATGTTTTTGTTTTTTAATAACAAATGTATTTTGTATGTCAGATGTAAAAAGATAGTCTTTTATATTTGTCTTATCAAATTTGACATACAACATAAATATATATATATATATATATATATTGTAGTAATAATGATATAATCTATTTATAATTGTAAATGTATATTGTATGTAGACATACATTTAGATGTATATTTTGTTAAAAGAAAACAAAACTGTTAATTTAGTTTTTGGGAGAAGGGGTGGGGTTAAATAAGTGTAAACTCCTTTGAATCAATTTGATACTGCTTATGTTTCTACAGTATCATAATTCTCTTGTTTCATTTTATTATTATTATATATATATTTTTTATTGTATTACACGTTCGAAATAAATCAAATCAAATGTGTCTTTGAAGAGGTGCTAGATTACTCAAAAACAACTGTTAGTGTGTTTATGCACCAGGCTGCAAAAGATAAACATGCAATTTGACGAGAGGCATTTCAGTGCAGAATACATTTGTATTTATTGGGCACAATTTCCACACTGTGGATTGTTCACTGGGGTGAGGCGGGGTCTGCTGTTCCCTCAACCACCAGAAAACAGCTCCAGCTGCAGTACCCCGGGAAGCCCTCTTCTGAGTAAAAACCCTGTAATATTCCTCGCCGTCCACTTCCCCGGTAGCCTGTGCCAACGTCCTTATACAGGTTGTCACACTGAAAGCACCTGGAAATTTGGTAGGCCTTCCTAAATTCCCTTTGTGTGTCCCTCTGTGAAGATATTCCAGTTGACGACACCTGAAGTAGAATGTCATAAGAAAATTACAATTCAGACAGAAAAAGAACAAAACCTTCCTTCATTTAGCTGACCTTACTCTTAGTCAATCAACTTGATAATATTCTAACCTACAGAATAGGCCGACATAATAACTGACAAAACATGTCAAAATGATGAGACTGTCTGATAAACAGTAAACAGGCAGTCAGCACAGTTAAGATTATTTACAATGAATTCAAATAGTAATACAATGACTATTAAAGAAGCATTTACACTGAAGACAGAACTTAGGCTACTGCTGATTTAATGTAGCGGACAGACAGATCATATTGACATGCTTTTGTCATCCTCTGAAGTTTAATTAATTAGCTGACTATAATTAATGATCAGGGTTGGGAAGTTTACTTTTTTTAAATGTAGTAGGTTACAGATGACTAATTACCCTGTTAAAAATGTAATAAGTAATGTAACTGACTATGTAACTATTTGTATTGATATTCTAATGTTAATTATGGTTATTTTATGTTTTTTGTGAGTCCCTTTGGATAAAAGCCTCTGCTAAATAACATAACCATAACATACGGTTTCATTAAACAAATAAACAAAAAGGCTAACAGTTGGTTTTGCAGCGAGTCATCATCATAGGCTAACAGATGACATTTAGCACGTGTTGCTTGTATTGCTGTCCAATTGAATACACCAGAATAGTTGTTAACTTTAAACAAACAACATGATTCACATTACTCACACTCTTACTGTAATTAGTGATTAAATCAACAATTAATGTAGGACACCTAGTTGGGCTTGCCAAAATCACGCTACAGTTTCATTAAACAAATAATCAAATATGCTAACAAAACTAATGCTTTTGCTAATAATGCTTTTGCCGAAAGCTATAGCTAACGAATAATTGTTTTTAGTGCCTTTAATACTGTTAGAAGCTATCATAAGCTAACAGATGTTTGTTTGTATTGCCTTAAGACTATCATAGTTAATGTTAGCTAATCACACTTCATTTCAAGACACCAGAATTGTTATTAATGTTAAACAAATAAAACTTTAAAAGCACTTCACACTACTCACACTCTCTGCGTTGTCGTTCATATTCATGTCTCCTGCTCACTAGGTGGCGATGTTGCAAAACAACTAGGGTCCTGAGACTGCAGCCTCCGACGCTGCAGCTTCATACTACTCCTGTCCGGTCTCCCCAGCAGAGTAGATTTCAAAGCAGCAGCAAGCGGAGGAATCACTAATAAATGTGAGTATTGGGTTTCAACTTACTTTAAATTAACTAATGTCACACACGTCAAACCCAAGGGGCATTAAAACGTACATTTTCGTTAAATAATACGGATAAATACGTGACGTTAGTGACGCTAACTAGCTAGCTGGACGTACTGTACTGTTGGTTCACACTTATTTTTAATTCAATTCAGAAGTTTACTAAAGTCATACAGAGATCTTGGCTCTGTTATGGATAAGTTATACTTTATATTACATAAATAGACCAAAGTGAAAACATTTAGACCGGTATAGCCTACAGTACGGTGGGATTTATAAAATGCTACCCTGACGTGTAGCTGCTGTTTGCTTTATTTATTTCTCTGACATGTTGCAATGTGTTGTTGTTTATTAAACTTTGGGACAACATTACAACCTTTGTATTCAGCTCATGCTGCTTTGAGATAGGGCTAAAAAAGAGCCTATTTTAAATATTTCCACCAGATTTGATCATCTTTTATTTAGGTTAAAGTTTATTTAATTAATCCTAATCCCATAATAATAACACAATCAAAAATAGACAGCAGCCTTTTACTTGATGTTAGTTTGTGCCGTGCTGTCAAAGGGATGCAAGTGTGACTGTCACTTCATCTCTTTAGTTTTTTTAAAACCAAAACCGTACATCATTTTAAATAATCCTTTGAGGATTGTTTGTCTGAAATGCTTAGAGTTACATTTTGCAATAATACTTTTGCAACCCTGTGTTTAATATGATTAATTCACTTTTTTCTTTTTCTCTTGTTTTTCTCTGTAATTAGGACAATTCTGGAGAAATGGATCTGCTGGAGAAGGACCCCTAATCTGAAAAGTGCACAGCGGATCATCAGGACAGAGCTGCCATCCACCTGGACCCCCGTGGTGCTGGAGAAGGACCCCTAACCCCAGCGGATCATCATAGCTGCCATCCACCTGGACACCCCGAGGTGCTGGAGAAAGCAAAACGGCGATCAGGAACATCCTCCACCCAGACCTCTGCTTCCACAAGTCCGGTTGGGTCGGAAACGCCCCCTGCCCTCCTGCCCCAACCCTCTGTTCCTCCAGTGGCTCACCGAGCTGCGGGACGCCGCCAAAGAGAAGGGCCTGAAGCTGCAGTACGTCTACCAGAAGGTAAGACATCAGAGTTAAAGTGCTCAGGTCTTGATATGTCATGTCTTTATTTACTGTTAGGTTTTACAGTTATAGTAAGTAGTAATACCACTGTGAAGAAATACCCTGTTATAACCAGGGGTGCACATAACTGGTACGCAGGTACGCATGCGCGGCAACAATCTGAAATGCGTACCGTCACTTGTGTCACAAAGCGCATTTGCGTACCGACGTACTTGTGAAGCTTTTCCAGAAGGCGGTTAGATCACCGGACGACAGGGTCGGTCGCCGTGTGCACAGACAGGGCTGCTGTTAACGTCGGTCTGTACAGCAGCCCTGCGCTAAAACAGCTGATCACAACGTTCACACGCTCCGCGGGTATGAAGCTCTGTACTCCACTGCCCCCCCCCCCCCCCCCCTCCGTTGACAATCGCGAAGCGCTGTACTCCACTAACACCCCCCCCCCCCCCTCCCCCCGTTGACAATCGCCAGAAGTTGGAGTACCAAACAATGACTCCAGGTACTCATCTGAATACCTCACTGAGAAAGTTGTGTGCACCCCTGGTTATAACCTTATGTCATGCATTCAAACCGTATTTCAAACATATTTACACTACCTCACAGGATATATTTTACTCTTACTTTAGTGTGTGTGTGTGTGTGTGTGTGTGTGTGTGTGTGTGTGTGTGTGTGTGTGTGTGTGTGTGTGTGTGTGTGTGTGTGTGTGTGTGTGTGTGTGTGTGTGTGTGTGTGTGTGTGTGTGTGTGTGTGTGTCACACTGTGTGTCACTGTGTGAAATAATTTCCCAACTAACAGACAGACATTATTTGACCAGGTTTTCTTTGATAAAGCAAAAAACTGAATACAACATATATACATTTTCAGAATTGCCCGTTTTATAGTAATACTACATTATAGTTTTTAATTGTAATATCTGATGCATTCATATGTTATGTACTAGGGATGGGAACGATTCATAGAATATTCGAAATTATTCAGGTATTCGAGTTATGAATATTTTTATTGTAATTACTTTTTTTTTTGTTGGGAGGGGTGCCTAAGTTGATTACATATGATCAAATGGAATAATTCAATGTATACGACAGTGCCATAGCTAAGTGTGTTATGTCTAAAGGTGTGTTTTGCTCCGCTCACCGGTCCCTCACAGCGGGCAGAGCTGCAGGTGCTGATCTCTCTCTCTCGCGTCCGGTTATACTTCACTCGCGTTTATGTCCAAATCCATCAGATCTAGCTAGTTCTAGCTAATGATATGGCTGCTGCCCCTCCCTACACACAGATCACGCAGACTCAAACCTCATCTTATGCCCAAATTCCAGCTGAGAGGGTCTTCTCTACAGCTGGCCTGAATGTGAATCGCCTCCGCACCCGCCTCTCCCCTGAGCATGTAGACATGCTCATATTCTTAAACAAGAATGAGTATTGAATAGCTGCATTCTGTGCATAGGCCCTGTTATAGGTTGTTGATCTCTGTTGTAATAGGGTTACGTTACCCTAACCCGTATGTTGTTCGTGTATGATCCTGAAAGCTGTAGGCCTATAGCTGTCAACTGTTCAAACTGTGATCACCAGTTCAATACATTTGACAAATTCGACTTGGTTTCTATACTTATTTGAACATGTATTTATTTATTTTTCAAAATTAAATTTTTCTTAGTAAATATTTTCCCACATTTTATTTTTTTTATAGGATATGTACATTTCGGTTAATCGGTTAACCGTTTTTTTGGGGGTCGAATATTCGAATATACATTTGCTTTCAAATTCCCATCCCTATTATGTCCACACATATGGAAAGAAGAAACAGATCTTCATATAACAAAGAAGTCATGCACTTATATGGCAAATCCTTCACAACCTTGAAAAAACATGAAAATAGTAATAAATTACATTTCTAAAAACACCAGTTTTTCATATAATGACCTGTGGTTTGCATATGTTGTTCATTAAGTTTCTTTCTAGACTTTTAACTATAAAGCAGTCTTGTTAAAGTCACAGGATAACACACATTATATTTTCTGCTTGCACACTTTGTCTTTCAGTCGGCTGTTTGTGCAGCCTGTATAAAAGCAACCCCAGGTACAAGAGAAAGTGTACACAACAGATGTACAGTTACTGCTTTAAAGTCACTGATGTTTGTTTGTTTGTAATTCACGTTTGCTTCTGTCTTGTTCTGCAGGCCATCAGCTCTTTGAACAAATATCCATTGCCGCTTCAAAACGCCAAAGAGGCCAAAATCCTGCAGAGCTTTGGAGACGGCATCTGTAAAATACTGGATCAGAAACTGCAGCGATATCTCAGAGAGAACGGTGAGGAACAGAGGAGTGGGGGGGTTCAGGATTACATTCATTCACTTACAATACAAGATCATTAAAGAAATACATTGATGCCTGCATTGTGAGAGGGGTGTAAATACAAGAGGGGGAAACTAGTGAAATTGGGAGCTATTTAAGAGTGGGAGTCTCAACAAATATGAAAAACATACATTAAAAAAACTACAAACAATACACCAAGAAAAGCCTGATGTAGAAAAATATAAGAACATATCAAAAAGCTAAAAGAGAATACATGGGTAGCTTTAAAAAAAGTTATCTGCAGTACTAGGAGTTATACCCAAAGGCAAGGCTAGGAAACAAATACTCACTTACTTCAAGCTGCAATAAAATGTATCACACTTTTCCTGTAGGTCCAGACGCTCCGATCCACTCTCTCCCTGAAGGAGCGCCCCATGCAACAGCCTGGATCCATCCAGAAAGGTGTGTGTGTGTGTGTGTGTGTGTGTGTGTGTGTGTGTGTGTGTGTGTGTGTGTTGTGTGTGTGTGTGTGTGTGTGTGTGTGTGTTGTGTGTGTGTGTGTGTGTTGTGTGTGTTGTGTTGTGTGTGTGTGTGTGTGTGTGTGTGTGTGTGTGTGTGTTGGGCAAGTTACTTTTAAAAAGTAACTAGTTATAGTTACTGCTCTCAAAGAAGTAACTAGTTACTTTATTAGTTACTAAATTATAAAAGTAACTAGTAACAAGTTACTTTACTTTAAAAATAATAACAATACAAATATAAGTTTTTGTGTTGTTCTGTGGCACAGTAAGACTAGTTTTATAGCCCCATGTACATTAGTTAGGTGCTTCAGGAGATTGGCATTGCTGTTATTCGACGTGTACAATGCTTTCTGTCCTGCACACAGTTTACATTTGACCGTAATATTTTTTGCGTCCTTTATCCCCACAAATTGAAAATAGTGGTTATATATCCAAGTTGTAAATGCACTGCTGCTCTCGCTGATACTTGCATCTGCCATTGTGTGTGTGCTGGTGGTGGGCGTTGCCGTGTATGTGTGTGTGTTAGCAAGTGTTTGTGTGTCTGTGTATTTTCCCCATAAGGCAAGACCCGCCCAACTCTGTTTCTGATTGGCTTACCCTGAAATGTTACCCCGCGTTAACCAATCATCACTCCTCTCTGGTCACTTTCACTTTTCCATGGTACTGTGAGAGGACATCGCCTGTAAGTTACATCCGCAGGGAGATTCGGTTCAGTAACGCAGTAACGCACCCATTTAAATCACAGTAACTATAACGGCGTTACTGAATGGGAATAGGTAACTAGTAACGTTATTAGTTACCGCAAAAGGTAGTTGCGTTACAGTAATGCGTTAGTTTGTAACGCGTTAGTCCCAACACTGGTGACTTGTCATTGAAAACCTCTTATTTGTGACTTCTTTTGTTTAACTTTCCTTGTAGAAGAATGCAGCCGGGGATCAAGGGAAAAACAAAGGAGGCGGAGGAGGGAGGAAGAAGAGGGAGTACATTCCCCAGAGACGGTCTGGAGGTTACGCTGTTCTGCTCACACTGTACAGAGTGTCTCAGGTACGCCTTCCTCCATCACATCTCCATAAAATACCTCCATGTTTTGCATCGTGGCTTCATGTGATGTCTCTCTCTCTCCAGATCCCAGGCAGCAAAGGCTACATGTTTAAGATGGAGCTCCAAGCAGAAGCTCAGCAACTCTGCGATAAGTCCTTCACTGTGGTAAGTGGAGTATTTGTTACAACACAACATAACAACGCTTCTGTTTTCTCATGTGTTGTTATAGCTAAAGACGGGCTAGCTGCCTTTAAACCCGCTTATTACACGGCTGATAACCAAATAAATTGAGGATTTGACTTCATAATTTGATAAATGAATTAATGATGGAAAATGATTTATATTGCCATGGTGAATATCTTTTGATGAAATGATTCATCATTTTAAATCGTAAATATGATCTGTTTCCTTGTACCTTCCGGTGTTTATTTAAAGGGGACCTATCATGCTAAATGCACTTTTGTACGTCTTTTATACATGATTATGTGTCCCCGGTGTTCCAGGGAACTCACCAAGTATCAGAAAACACAACCCTCTCTATTTTCCTGCATACCCAAATCTCTAAAAAAAAGGGGCTGCAACGGATCTGATAAAAACTGATCCAGATTTGAACACTGTCCTGACGTCAGGACAGTGGCGCTACGGCTATTGGGCCAACTCCACCAATCAGGAGGAGACAGCCACGGCCATTGCCGTTCGAAAGCGCTGGAGACGCTGTAGTACATATGCCAGGCCTGTAGATGGTGCTGTTCTCACTGAATCTGCCCTAGAGCTAAAAAATGTCAAATTGAGCAAAATGAGGCATGGCTAAAATGCATGATCTGTTTGGTATTTTGAAAAAAAAAAAGTATAAATATGCCTTATATAGGTATGGTCCTACACTATATTATTCAAATATAGCATGATAGGTCCACTTTACGTGAAGCAATTGAAGACAGCCGCGGTGCTCTGAGACCTGATGAGACGGGGAGCGGAACAGTTTTTCGACCGCAAATTGTAAACCGAAATTAGTGTTGCAAATTGGACTGCAAAGTATAGTTTATATAAAAAAGTATATCGCCGAAATATTGATTTAGATTTGTTATTTTGAGACTATTTAAGTCAATACTTTTTTGTTAATAAATTACATTTTTTGACTGAAAACCTTCGGCTGCTTATTGCTTTGGATTGTGTGTCGTCAACCCCGCTCTATAGTGGCAAAAGGAAACCTTGGATGCCACTACAAGGGGTGTCAAATACAAAGTGGGCCAAAATTAAAAAATGGGTACTAGTCGAGGGCCGGACTGGTTCAATGTTTATTGCAAAACTTATTGAAATGAACTTATTGCACATATTAAACCTGGAACTAACAAAGCTTAAATTATTGCCTATAAAAACAACATTAAACATTAAATAATCAGTTGCATTCATTTCTTATGGCTCTATCTGCAGCTTTTCCGGAGTCATTTCTTATGATTACATTTTTCCACAGGCCAACAACAGCTTCAAAAAAACTATTTCCCTCAAAGAAAAAACAAACATGCCCTGTTGTCCAAGAAAAAAAGTGCAGAAGGAAACATCCATTGAAACTCAGTGTGCTGCTCTGTGATGCTATGCCAGATACTTGGCATCTCATCTTGGGTGCAAGTTCATCAATGTTTGGGCTCAGGCTCTGAGCTGAGGAAACCCTCAGGATTGAGTGAAGGCGTGCGTGCAATATACCGGCGGGCCAGATCTAATAGTAATTAGAAATTATCCTGCGGGCCGAAATTAAATCCACCACGGGCCTTGAGTTTGACACATGTGCTTTAATACCTAATATGAGTTGAATATGTGCAGTATGGTATTATATGCCAATACAAGATACACCAATAGACTTAAGTTATTACTTATTTTAGTTTTTATTGTTTTTCTCACCAAAAATCATTTGTAGAAGAAACTATCAGAAAAAAGTCAAGGAGTATGAAGATTATAAGGGTTAGGTTTAGGTTTAGAGTTAGGTTTAGGGTTAGGGTTAGGTTTTTGACATTTTTAAAGACAACATTTGACACTGCATGATTAAAGAGAAACAAACCAACATAGAAATTTAAATTAAATAAAAACATTTGTTTATTTATTTATGCTTTTGACGAATTAAGAAAATTGTACATCGCTATAAAACAAACGTAGCCCCCGGAGTTACCCCTGATGTCATGGTAACACATCTTACTAATGTTTTGTTTTTTTAATCGTACATTTTGGGAAAAACCCGGTGCTCCCGGAGAAAACCCGCAGATAAGTTAGTGGCTTTTATCTCCTGGCCTGCTGAGCTTGATTCTCCTGAACCGTTTTCATGTGTTCAAGGAAGTCATTGTCAACGGTGACGTTCTTCACATTCAAGCTGTTAATTCGGTCCTGATCGCCGTTTGGATTCTGAACCGCTGTGTTTTTGTCCCTCAGCGGCTTCACCTGGAAGGCTGATTCACTGACTTTCAGGTTGAGCAGTTGATGCTTAAAGTGTTTCTTACTATCAATCTCTTCGTTGGCATCATCCAGATTCTTTTGCAGGAGGTCATTTTCCGCTTTCAAACCATCCAAGTGATCGAATGTCAGCAAATGAGAACGACCCTTCCTCAAAACACCAATCTCTAGGTTAAGATCCACGAGATCCTTCCCCATGGCGGCACTATCACACCTCAAGGTCTCGTTGGATGCCATCAAAGCCTGATACTTGATCATGAGATCATTTTCCTTGTGAACCTCATTGCTCACACCCTGGATCTTGTTCATTAAAGCCTCGTTCTTCCTCATAACGTCCTCTCTCTCAGCTTTCGCCTCCTTGTAAGAGTCCTCAAGCTTCATGAAAAGCAGATGCCTTTTCTTGAGCTGCAAAACTTCTTCTCGCAGGGAGACATGTTCGAGACTCATGGCGGCTTTTTCTGTCACCATTGCGTTGTAACTTTCCCTAATGGTGTCCTCATTCTGAAGTTCTTGACACAACTCGTGTTTCTTTTGTTGCAACAATTGATTTCGCTGGAGAATCAACTCTCTTTCTTCCTTCGCAATGTTGTATGACCCCTGAAGATCCTCTAAACCCAGAAGCCTCTTTGAAAGCTCAAAGATCTCTTCTTGCAAGTCTTCAGTTTGGCTCCTTTCCTCATATTTCAACTGGTTCATTTCGTCTATCTCAAACTGCACCGTGCTTTCATTTTCAAGCTCCCTGCAGAGATCCACTTCCTGCGGCAGAGCCTGGTTCTTCTGGAAAACCGTCTCTGTCTCTGCCTTAGACACTTGGAAACAATCCTGAAGTTGCTCTTTCCTTTGCTTGAGACACTCAAGTTCTTCCTCAAGGCCACCATTTACTCTGATGGTTTCCTCTGCGTCACTTCTCAATGCATCGAGCGTTTCCTCTGCAGCAGAATAGCTTTGGATCCATGAACGCACCTCTGTAATCAGTGCTTCGAGCTCTCTCTGTCCACATAGTGCAGCTTCATTCTCCTGAACCGTTTTCATGTGTTCAAGGAAGTCATTGTCAACGGTGACGTTCTTCACATTCAAGCTGTTAATTCGGTCCTGATCGCCGTTTGGATTCTGAACCGCTGTGTTTTTGTCCCTCAGCGGCTTCACCTGGAAGGCTGATTCACTGACTTCCAGGTTGAGCAGTTGATGCTTAAAGTGTTTCTTACTATCAATCTCTTCGTTGGCATCATCCAGATTCTTTTGCCGGAGGTCATTTTCCGCTTTCAAACCATCCAAGTGATCGAATGTCAGCAAATGAGAACGACCCTTCCTCAAAACACCAATCTCTAGGTTAAGATCCACGAGATCCTTCCCCATGGCGGCACTATCACACCTCAAGGTCTCGTTGGATGCCATCAAAGCCTGATACTTGATCATGAGATCATTTTCCTTGTGAACCTCATTGCTCACACCCTGGATCTTGTTCATTAAAGCCTCGTTCTTCCTCACAACGTCCTCTCTCTCAGCTTTCGCCTCCTTGTAAGAGTCCTCGAGCTTCATGAAAAGCAGATGCCTTTTCTTGAGCTGCAAAACTTCTTCTCGCAGGGAGACATGTTCGAGACTCATGGCGGCTTTTTCTGTCACCATTGCGTTGTAACTTTCCCTAATGGTGTCCTCATTCTGAAGTTCTTGACACAACTCGTGTTTCTTTTGTTGCAACAATTGATTTCGCTGGAGAATCAACTCTCTTTCTTCCTTCGCAATGTTGTATGACCCCTGAAGATCCTCTAAACCCAGAAGCCTCTTTGAAAGCTCAAAGATCTCTTCTTGCAAGTCTTCAGTTTGGCTCCTTTCCTCATATTTCAACTGGTTCATTTCGTCTATCTCAAACTGCACCGTGCTTTCATTTTCAAGCTCCCTGCAGTGATCCACTTCCTGCTGCAGAGCCTGGTTCTTCTGGAAAACCGTCTCTGTCTCTGCCTTAGACACTTGGAAACAATCCTGAAGTTGCTCTTTCCTTTGCTTGAGACACTCAAGTTCTTCCTCAAGGCCACCATTTACTCTGATGGTTTCCTCTGCGTCACTTCTCAATGCATCGAGCGTTTCCTCTGCAGCAGAATAGCTTTGGATCCATGAACGCACCTCTGTAATCTGTGCTTCGAGCTCTTTCTGTCCACATAGTGCAGCTTGATGCTTGGCTTTGATAGCATCGATGCAATCCAGCACATCTCGCTTGTCAAACATCTGTCCCTCGAGGGTCTGTCGTTCACGCTCCAATTCCTTGTTTGTCTGGATTAGTCCCTGGAACATCGCCTCTACGGTAACGTTATTTTCGATCTTCTCACTAAGAACCCTCCCTTCTTTTTCGAGGTAGGCACATTTGCGCCTCAGGACACGTTCCTCGGCCTTCAGAGCGTCAAACTGCTCCCCCAGCGCTGGAAAGCTGCTGAACTGTCTTTGTATGGATTGCATTTCCACATGTACGGTCTTGAGATGTTCTTCAACTGCCCCAAGACTCCTTCTAACTCCAGCGTAGTCACCTCCCATTTCCACTTGTTCCTTATTGCAGGACATGTTTTTTTAAGATGATAATGATACACACACAGTAGCAACTGGTAATACCTAACTGTTTCTCACGGGGAAAAAACAGAATTTCATGGGGTGTTCTGCTAAGCCAAGATATGCTATGCCTTAAAACTCAAATTTGTCTCCTTGCAGGTTCAAATTTGGAACTATCGATGATGTCACAAAGCACATCACAGCATCATCATGACATCACTTGGAATTTCTGCACAATGCTCACATGTAGAGATGTGGCCATGGCAACAATGAAGATGCATTCTGGGTAACTTTGCCCAGGCATTCCATTTTTGAAAAACAACAACAAGATGGCTGACTCCTACTCTCTATTCTACTCAATATTAAGGGAGTTCTTTGTGGAAGATTATATAGTGAAAATGAACACACCGATGTTCTGAAACTAATATATAAAAAGGGACTTGTTTTGGGATGTCCTGTTAACAATAAACCATTATTATTACTCAAAAATTGTCGTCAAAAGCAGAGAAAATACTTCCTAATAATACTCTTTATTCAAAAAAAATTTGAGTCTGTAGGCATGAAATATTAATGTTTTTGGTACAAAATTAGCTTGAGCACAATTTTGTATTGGCCATTTATTGACTGATATGACGGCACAGGGTACCCTGATCAGAGCGTCCTGAATATTTGTATTTTAATTTAGTTAACTTTTATGTGTCTGTAGCCAGATCTGGGCAGTAAGTACACGGCCTGGTCTTCAGTGAGCACTCTGATCCAGAAGAACCTGGTGATGAAGACCCACAACCCTGCAAGGTACAGAGGACACACACACACACACACACACACACACACACACACACACACACACACACACACACACACACACACACACACACACACACACACACACACACACACACACACACACACACACACACACACACACACACACACACACACACACACACACACACACACACACACACACACACACGTCTCTAAAACCCAGGAATTGATAATTGACTTAAGACGTCACAAGGATGTTCCTAAGGAGTGAATCATACTCAATGACAAGGTTGAAATTGTCACATCATATAAATACTTGGGCACCATTTTCGACGACCACCGCACATTCGATGTGAATACTGAGTGTGTTGTGAAGCGGGGTCAATGCACCTTCTTCGCAAACTGAACTCTCTCTGTCAGGCCGGTCATTCTTTGTTGTTTTTACCAAAGCATTCATTGAGAGCCTTATTTGTTTTTCTTTTTTTCCATAGTGTAAGGAATAAAATCTATATTTATATGGCGTAACTTAAAATGAATATACTGTTCTTATTTTAAGCTGCTTTATTCTGAAAACCGGATGTTCACACAATCGACTTCCGGTTTTCGCGAGTAAATATCGTCAACTTCCGGTTAGCATTAGCATGTAGCTAATTTTGTGTTTCTGTGAATTTAAGGAGAAATGACACGTGGTGTTGCACACTAAACACACTGTCTTTAACCATCACTTATTGACGCTACAATACTATTATTAGGGAATGTTTAAATGACCAACATATTAGAAGATTGTAAAACTAACATCAGAAAACGACAGGACGTGCCTTGGACCCGCCCCCGTCAACGCTAAGCCAATAGGAGAAGCCTACAGATTATAAAATGAGAAGCCAGCTGGAAGCCGCCCTCTTTCCCAGCTGTCCATCAAGGATAACCAACCATTCTTGCAATTTCATTGTATCATCGTATCGTTGTTTTATTAAACGCTGTTAACTTGTAAATAAGCTTCCTGGAGTCCTTTCAGCTAATCCTGAGCTCAGAGCTCAAATACCCTACAATAGCCTTACACTGAAAGACAGGAACAGCCTGAACAACATTGTTAAAACCTGCTCTCAGGTCATCGGAGTGAAACAGAGAGACTTAAACTCCTTTTGCAACCAACAGATTATGCGGAAAGCAATTCAGAGTGTTTTGAAGTGGAAACGGGGGCTTCCCTTTCGTTTAAATGTAGTTCACTCTTCCTCCCTCTTCAGGTATTCTCTGACAGAAGAGGGTCTGGCTTTAGGGGAGCGCCTCAAGTCTTTAGAGGGAACTAAAGGTCCAGAAGGAGACAGAGAGGAGGCCAGGAGTGAAGGAAACAAGCAGGAGGAGGGAGAGGAGGGTGGCCCGGGGTTTGTGGACCTCACTGTTAGTGATGATGACGAAGAGGAGAAGGAAGAGGAGAGAATACAGTGAGTGTGCTTCAAAACTTCTGGGAAAAAAACGTATCATTATCTCAACATGTAACTATACTCTGAAATGCATTTAAGTCGCACCATTATTTTCCTTTTGTCATATGTTTGTGTTTGGACTGATAGACTAAGTGTTTAGAGACCATTTAAACATTCAAGATTCAAAATAACGTGGTCTTGGTTTTCACAATCTTAAGTCCCAGCCTCCTCCAACAATTTACGACATAAAAAGGAATAAATATAGTCCAAAAAGAAACAGAAACGTGTAAGTAAAATGCAAAAATAGGTCAACTATATACATAAATAAAAATACGGTGCTTTCTACTTTTATATACGACAATACGTGGACTTTACTTTGTGTGTTTTAGCTTGTAATGTTTCTGTAAAATACATGAACTCTCAACAATTGTAGATTTATTAGTAATATATATTTTAGACAGAAATATCTCCATTATGTTTTATGACTGCACTTGTATTGTTGAACTGTTTGTAAATACAATAAAAGGAATTGAACCGTCTTTTCCCAGACCTACAGAGAGGCCGATCTCCTCTGCCCAGCCGAGGGTTGTCGTTCCTGGGATGTTCTTTTCAGGAAAACCCCAAAATGTACCGTCAACGAGCAGAAACCCAAATTCATGGAGTCTCCTTCCCGGCTCCTACGAGATCATCCTGTGTGTGTGTGTGTGTGTGTGTGTGTGTGTGTGTGTGTGTGTGTGTGTGTGTGTGTGTGTGTGGTGTGTGTGTGTGTGTGTGTGTGTGTGTGTGTGTGTGTGTGTGTGTGTGTGTGTTGTGTGTGTGTGTGTGTGTGTGTGTGTGTGTGTGTGTGTGTGTGTGTGTGTGTGTGTGTGTGTGTGTGTGTGTGTGTGTGTGTGTGTGTGTGTGTGTGTGTGTGTGTGTGTGTGTGTGTGTGTGTGTGTGTGTGTGTGTGTGTGTGTGTGTGTGTGTGTGTGTGTGTGTGTGTGTGTGTGTGTGTCCTGAACTGTTGGTGTGTTTGTGAAGCGGAAGCAGGATCTGGTCAAAGAGCTGCAGATGAACGGAGTGACGTTCGATGTGAGGAAGCTCAACGTGGGAGATTTCCTGTGGGTCGTTCGGGAAAAGGTCGCAGCTATTCCAGGTAACACAACGTAAAAAACAAATCCACTTTTTCCTGTCTCTTCTACATCAACATGTGTCCCCTCTTCTTCATGTCTCTTCTACATCAACATGTGTCCCCTCTTCTTCATGTCTCTTCTACATCACCATGTGTCCCCTCTTCTTCATGTCTCTTCTACATCAACATGTGTCCCCTCTTCTACATCAACATGTGTCCCCTCTTCTTCATGTCTCTTCTACATCAACATGTGTCCCCTCTTCTTCATGTCTCTTCTACATCAACATGTGTCCCCTCTTCTTCATGTCTCTTCTACATCAACATGTGTCCCCTCTTCTTCATGTCTCTTCTATATCAACATGTGTCCCCTCTTCTTCACGTCTCTTCTACATCAACATGTGTCCCCTCTTCTTCACGTCTCTTCTACATCAACATGTGTCCCCTCTGTGTAAAGAGATTCTGAAAGTTTCAGGAACAAAGATTCTCTCTCTTTTTGTCCTGATCCATTTTTATAAAAACCTGTCTGAAAATGAGCTGATCAGATTTTGGCCACTTTATGATGTCATAACGATGTTTTGGCTTGTGTAACCATTAGCCAATCAGCAACCAAGGTAACCCCCCCCCCCCCTCCCCCACCTTATCACCTGAATCTCCTCCTAGAGCACCATTGTGTTCTTTTTAACCAAATCTCTCTCAGAGGGGCGTGGGGAGGGGCTCCTTATTTTCATCTAAAGTAACAGACAGAGAATCAGCACTTTTGAAACAGGGCTGAAACAGAGGGGATTATGGGATGCTGCAATGATCTGTTTGGTGTTTCAGCCAATCAATTTGTAAACATGTATTCATTGATTTTTTACATTTATCACATTACACAAACACAACCGAACATTAGACATATGGCAGATGACAAAATAATGCTAAAATAAAAAGTGTGCAGTTAGTAGAAATCAGTTTAAAGTACAGACCAAGAATATAATTACATTTGCAAATTAACAAATTCAACAGAAATACAGCAAAAGCACATCCACAACCAGAGCTTACAATTCTCCAAATAGATGAACCGTATTCAACATTTCCTCACCGTAGTTTAGTCTTTTCACTTTAACCGTCCACCGCTTCTGCAATGTCCCCCATTTTTTTATAAATTCCAACTCGTAATCATTTTGTTTTTCTCTGACTCCAGGTCAGTTGCGGACCCCCGTTGGCCGTGAGCTCGTCCTGGATTACATCATCGAGAGAAAGAGGATGGACGACCTGTGCGGCAGCATCATCGACGGGCGCTTCAGGGAACAGAAGGTGAAGAAAATGCATCTTCGTCAACCCATTTATCTTTGAGTCACTCCATCAAATTATTAGTCATGTACTCCGTTAACCAGAGCCCTGCATGCTGACTTGAAATGGCTTGTTTTGCCAAATGGTCAATAACCCAAAGATATTTGGATATTATGTAGAAATGCAAGAAGATTATCATATTTAAGATTAGATAAACCTTTATTAATCCCCATAGGGTTATTCTATCGGTAAAGCAGCAGCAGGTATACGAGTGAAACGCGAAATATATCAAAATAACAATAAAATAATTCGGTGGAACTGTTAACATACATATATGAATAGATATGGATACTTAAAATGTATATAAATGTCTGTCTTCAAGTGCATGTCCAAAAGTAGGTACATAGGGTGCATCTTGTTAAGTTTAATTTGCACTTGATGAATCATTTGAACATTTTATCACATATCAAAATTGTTCAATCTTCTGTAATGAGTTTCTTTGCTTTTACTCTCCGTATCTTTTGATAAAAAAAACACATTTTCTTTTACGATGCTGTTAATCAAATTATTTAAGGTGTGTTTTGTTATGTGTTACTGTGCACAACCCAAGAATGTACCTTAATCTCTTCGTCCCTTTACTTTCCTCCTCATCAGTTCCGTCTGAAGCGCTGTGGTCTGCGTAACCCCTGCTACCTGGTGGAGGAGTGTGGGAAGGCTGCCTCTCACCTGAGTTTACCTGAGACCACGCTGCAGCAGGCCATCATCAACACACAGGTGAGAAAACATACACCTGCATGGTGGTTTAGGTGCTGTTCACACGAGAACGCAAACGGTTGTATCCGCTACTTTTCTCTTGCGTATAGCCCGTTCGTTCACACGAGGCTGTAACGGAACCGCGGAAACGGACCCCGCAAACGATAACAGGTCCCAAGGTGGGTAGATCTGCAACCGGAACGCTCTGGGGGGGGTCAAACGGCTCAGTGTGTACGCCCTATACCTCTCCCCACCTCTGCTGCTCACTGCTGTAGCATGGTCAGTAGCTACTGTCAGTAGCTACTGCTAGTGCTACTGCTACTGCTACTGACCATGCTACAGATGTTAGTGCAAAATCTACAGCTCCTCTACCACAACCATCAGCAACAAGTGGACATGGAGAATTACATGAACTACATGTTGCTAAATCCACCGCGGGGCATAAACAGAAGGGCAACCATGGCAACCATGCTCGGGGGTCTTCTTCGCTGCTTATGGTGTATTTTGTGGCGAAAGTACAGCGCCACTTACAGGCCCGGCATATGTACTACAGCGTCTCCAGCGCTCCCGAGCGGTCTCGGAAGACTTTTTTGATATCGTATTCGGTTCGTTTGCGTTTCGTATGCGTTTGCGTGTAAATGGGCTCTTAATGTGCACTGCATTAATCACAAAACAAGATTTGTTTGAGTCTCTGATGTATATATGTTGTCTTTTGTATATGTGTTTGTGTTTGTGTGTGTGTGTGTGTATCAGGTTGTTGATCGCTTCTTTGTGAAGAGAGTCCAGGATGTGAGGGAGTCGATGGCCTACCTCACTGTCATGACTCGATACCTGAATAAACTCTACCAGGTAAAAGTTTAAATAAATATTTTATAAAAGCAATAAATGGATATGTTTTTAGCCCCTGTAGATTAATACGTTTTTATAATTTGAACAATTACTGTAGGGTTTTGCCTCAACTTCAATCATTTAGACATGTTTGTGTAGCCTTTTGAAGCCTTAAAGAATGAGTATATTATGTATTATAGGGGTCTAAGTCGGCCCCAAAACAATTGGAATAGTTATGATAAACTTTTAAATCTGTTTTCCAGAACTGTACGCTGACGTGTCGCTCCAGAGAGCTGGAGAGAGAGGATGAGGAGGAGGAAGAGGAGAGAGGGACCCCCCCTGCTCTCTTATCTCTTTTGCAGAGTTCAACCACGGTGCAATCAAAATGTGTGTGTGTGTGTGTGTGTGTGTGTGTGTGTGTGTGTGTGTGTGTGTGTGTCCATAAAACCTTTTGCTGATATTTGTTTTACTGCTGAAATTTTTTTCTAAATTAAAATAGTAATTGTTAAACACATTGTTTATTTCATTTACTGAGGTTTTAACCATTATTTACAACATGTGTACATAAGCAGTGGAATAATAGGATATCTCTAGGTCATTAAACTGTCTTAAGTTCAGTTTAATTTTATTGATACAAAAAATAGGTCATCGAAAATGTTTCATTGTGTATTTCAGCAGAGCGGGGGGTCACAGTGCTGCTGGACCTGGAGGTGCTGACCTGGTGTCAGTGGGACATCATCTGGGCAGGTTTAGGGGAAGAAGGAGAATATAAACTGTTATAAACCACAGCTACATATTAAGATTAGAACACTAATATTGTTAAGAATCAATCTATACAACATGCTTTTGTTCATTTAAAAAAACATATTGTTTTATTAGTACAGAAAAATTAAGACTTATTTTAAATATGAAATAATATGATTAAATTACATCAGATATAATTAACTTGTTAACTTACTAATGTAACATTACTGGGGGCTAAAGGAACAGCTTAATCTTATTTACCTGGCCATGGTCCTCTTTATTTCATCACCGTCGGTGATCCCCAAAAAATGGTTAAAGTAAAAAAGTATAAGTAAAGTTTCTGGATCCTTTTCAGCGGAGTTAGCTTGTAAGCTAATTTGCTAGCAAGCTGCTGGAGCAGCGCAACCGAACAGCGCGTATCACGTGACGTAAATACGAAGCGCTCCGTAGGCTAGACCGTCTCATTTCGTAGGCCGCTCGGTCCAGCCTACCCGGTCTACGTGGGCTGGGTCCTCCGTGGACCGCGTTGGCTGTGTACTCCGAAGGGTGCAGCCCCTGAATTGAGACACGGCCTTTGTTTCTGATAGCAACTTTCTGTGGATCCACCATCCGAAATGACGTCATATCAGCATAAAATCTGTATCCGCTCGTTGTACCCCCGTTTTTAAAAGATTTGGGTGCGGAGGAAAAGAGAGTTTTATTTTCTGACGCTGCGTGAGTTCCCCGACACACCGGGGACACATATGTATGTATAAAAGACATCAAGACGTGGTGCAAAAAAACACAATTATATATTTTCTACTGTTGATATGTATTTAGTGTCGAGTCATTTTCTTTCTAACTCGAGTGTAATGCCTGTTAACATTCTGCCCTGACAAAAATAAGAAATCCCAATTTGGACGAATAAAGTTGAACTAATCTAACCTAATCTAAATGTATATAATACAATACAGAATGTAATTATAATATAACACAATATAACACAATTTACTATAATATAATAATACAAATCAGAGACAATATATATATATTAAAAAAAGGGGTTTCACCTGGATTTAAAAGAAGTAAGAGTTGCAGTTTTCTGGGAGCAAAATATAAATATATGGAGCATAATAACAAGAAACTGCTCGTCCATGTTTGGTTTTACTCTGTGGACAAAAGGTATGGTTGTATGGTTTATGCAGCAGAAAATCTATATTTTTGTCCCTGAAACACTACAAATATAATGTGTTGTTAGGCACTGATAATACATCTTTTGACAGAGCTAAGCTAACACTTAGAGTAACAGCTGCCAGACACTCTGTACTGGATTTGCGGAAATTAAATTATTATCGATCTTCTGGTGCAAATCTGTTTAAGACGGCAGACGAGGAGTAGTCCTTTAATACAATCAGCTGTGATGCTTCCACTGATGTCTGCAGAAGATCTAAGAGTGTTCTCTGCATGCAGGGTTCGAGTTATGTGGGAGCCAATGGGAGCTGAGCTCCCATAAGGAGGGGACTGAGCTCCCACGGGCGCAGTGAAATCATACATCTGTGGGGGTCGCTAATACATTACCAACAACCATTATTTTAATCACAAATAATGCATGTGTCAATGTAATGAGCTGTAGAGCCGATGAAAGGGAGTCAGAGGCGGTGTGTTCAGTATGGAACTCCACACTTTTTTTTCCATTTAAGAGAAGACAAGGTAAGTACACAGTACATTTCTCTGAGTAAAATTGACTCAAATTGAAGAAAATTTTACTCTAAAAATATTACATTTGGTCCCAACCTATATAGAGTAAAATGTACTCTTTGTTCAGAGTTGTATTTTTAGAGTTCATTTTACTCTATTATGTGCTTAGATTTGACTCTGCTTAATGGTTATTTACTCTATGTAGTGTATATTAAAAACAACTCTACTGCCATTTTACTCATAATAGAAGGTAATTTTACTCCCAACAGAAGGTAATTTTACTCAGAATAGAATAAATGAACCATAATGATCTTTACAATAAAAAAGGTCAATAAACCAAAGTGCTTAAGGAACATGAGTGGGAGTGTGTGAAGCTGACCATTGAGCGGCCCGACCAAGCAAGGAGGCAGAGGCAGAGAGTTCAAATACAACCCGGTGTGGGCATTTATTCCTCTTTGTGGTACAGGATACACAGCCTCAATATGACTGTCTCACGTGAACACAGTCACCAGCACCAAGGATCACACACACACTAACAGGAAAACAGAACCTAAATACACACAGGACTAATCAAACCAACAAGACACAGGTGAGGAGGGAGGAGAAACACAGGGCACCAGGTGAACGCAATCACCAGCAACAGACAAGACGGGAGGGGGAACACTTTTCAAACTAAAACAGAGACAGACAAACTAAAACATAGACAGATCGTGACTAATATATGCATAAATTACATATAATCACATGCTTCCTGTGCAATGTTTTAGCGTGGAACAAATGAATATACTTCGCCAATAATGAAGCTATATAATCCGTAACGGAGACCGAGATCAATGGCCCCAGAGATCACCTCCGTTACAGAGTGGTCATGGTTTAACTCCAATAGAATTGACTCTGCATTTTTGATCGCACTCTAGAAGCTATGAGTAATAAATACACTCCAAAATGATTAAATATCACTATTTCAGAGCAAAATAGTAATTACTCTGGAATAAATACTCACCAATATTTCCTGTGTACATCTGCATGTCGCTACTGATAAGCTAGCATGAATAACACCACACGGTACCCTCACTAACGGGTCTGTGTTGCAACACACACAATATTCCCAACGGTGAATTATGTCCCATAACGTGTCACCACACAAGCCCCCCCAGAATTCACCCATAAACAAAGTCTGCGTGGCGAGGAGGAACGACAAGCCGACCCCCACGACTCCTGAGCACGGAAGCCGGGAAAGCGACCTCTGCATGGGCGGCCGCCGGAAGAGGCGGGACCGGAACAATGGGTCTCAATTCGGTGACAGGGATCAAGGCCGGGGGGCGACCCCGTCGCGGAGGCCGTGCCAGCACCACCGGCTGGTCCAAATCCAAGTGGGCCGCCTTCACCCGGTCCACCAAGACGTGCTCGGCCTTACCACCCAGGTCGACCAGCAAGTGCTTGTCCCCGTGTACCAAGACCAGGAAAGGTCCATCGTAAGGGGGCCGCAGGGGGCCTCTGTGCGCGTCGTGCCGGATGAAAACGTGCTCTGCCGAGCTGAGCTCCACAGGAACCCGGGACACCTGAGTACCGTGCTGAGCAGTGGGGATCGGAGCAAAAACCTCAGCGGCGTCCTGCAGGAAAGCTCGCTGGGCCATCTCCGACCAGGGAGCCGATGCATTGGGGAGGACCGTAGACCATCTCAGCCGTGGAGCACTGCAGGTCCTCCTTAGGCGCGGTCCTCAGGCCTAGCATCACCCAAGGCAGCTTGTCGACCCAATTACCGTCCGTCAGGCCGGCTCTGAGTGCTGCCTTCATGGAGCGATGGAAACGTTCACAAAGGCCGTTAGCCTGAGCTTGTCCTGTGAAGCTTAACCCCCAAACCTCTCGCCACAGCGTTCCAGAGCTCGGACGTGAACTGTGAACCCCGGTCCGAGGAAATGTCTGAAGGGGTGCCAAACCGACACACCCACGTTGCAATGAAAGCCCGGGCTATGTCAGCCGCCGACGTCGACACGAGAGGAACTGCCTCCGGCCAACGGGTCGTCCTGTTCACCATGGTAAGGAGATAGTAAAAGCCCTGAGAGGAGGGTAATGGACCAACCAGATCGATGTTGACGTGGTCAAACCTCCTCTCAGGTACCAAAAAACGCTCCAAGGGGGCCTTCGTGTGGCACCTTAGCGCGCTGACAAGCCACGCACTCACCAGCCCAAGTCCTCACGTCCTTTTTCAGCCCCCGCCAGACGAACTTCGTGGCCACCATGCACACCGAAGGTTTCCCGCCGGGGTGTGACAAGCCGTGCACCGCCTCGAAAACGGAACGCCTCTAACTGGCGGGAACGACCGGACGCGGCAGGCCCGTGGAGACATCGCACAGGAGAGTAACGCCCGCGTCACCGAAAACCACGTCTTCCAGGCGCAGCCCCACGTCCTCACCTTTCAGGGCCTGGACGCTGGGGTCCGTGACCTGGTCCGCCGCCATGCGGGTATAGTCGAGGCCCAACTGGATGGCCCCGATGACGACTCTGGAGAGGCAATCTGCAACCAGGTTCGACTTGCCAGCCACGTGCTTAATGTCTGTGGTGAACTCCGAGATGTAGGAAAGCTGCCTCTGTTGCCGAGCAGACCAAGGCTCCGCCACTTTAGACATGGCGAACGTGAGCGGCTTGTGGTCAACGAACGCCGTAAATTCACGGTCTTCCAGCAAAAAACGGAAGTGCCACACGGCCAGCCAGAGTCCAAGGAGCTCCCGGTCAAAAGCGCTGTACCTGCGTTCCCTGGGCATCAACTGACGGCTGAAAAAGGAGAGTGGCTGCCAAGCGCCTTCCACCCACTGCTCATGCACCGCACCGACGGCGTAGTCTGATGCGTCTGTGGTAATGGAGATGGGAGCCCGTGGATGACGGGTGTGCCAACAGGGCCGCCTGAGCCAGCGCGGTCTTGACCTCCTTAAAAGCCACCTCAGCTTCCGCCATCCAGTCGATCTCCTGGATGGGGACCAGATGGCCTTACCCTTCAAAGCCTCATACAGCGGCCGCATAATGTGGGCGGTCCGG